GCCTTCGGCTCAGGTCATGATCCCAGGGTCCTGGGATCGAGCCCCGCATCGGGCTCCCTGCTCGGCCGGAAGCCTGCTTCTCCCTCTCCCACTCCTCCTGCTTGTGTTCCCTCTCTCACTGTGTCTCTCTCTGTCAAATAAATAAAATCTTAAAAAAGAATCCTTGTTAGAGAATTAGGAGTTCCGTATGCAGAGCATACTTCTTGTAATTGGTCACACTGGAATATGCATTCAGGGAGAGATTGAATACTTAGCATTTCAGCTATGTGAGCATGCGGTTGTGGGCAGTCGGGTTTCCTCCTTATTAACAATATCAGTACCTCCTTTCTGAGCGAGTGTTCCAGTGTTGCCAACTTTCCTTTCTTGATGATTTGGTGTTTCATTTTGGAATTCTACTCTACCTACCAATATCTCGGAAGAAGGGGAAGATTGGGCGAGTAGAAGCAAACAGGCTTCTCATTTCATTCTTGGTTCCGTTCACTCCATGAACACGTCTCGAGGACCTGCTGTGTGCCAGCCCTGTTCTGCATGTGGAGATGCAGTGGCGGCCACGTTCCTGGCCCCATGACACTCACATGTAAATGGAGGGAGACGAAGAACAGAATTATATTTGTATCCAGTGTTAGGCTGGGGACACGACGACAAGCACAGACACAAATACCAGCTCCCACCCCTGCATCCCCACCCCTGTTAGCCTAAGATGAAGATGTCAGGGAAAATGTCATTTCTTCTGCCAGTTACTGGAAATTGAGTTCTTGTGGTCCGCCGGGAAGTCAGAGGCTTTCCAGGGTCCCTCCCAGGCCTCGGCCTCCTCTCTTCAGTAGGCCTCCGGGTGACCCCTCACCTCCATCAGTGGAGTGTCTGACTTCCCCCACAAGTCTGTTGTTTGTTGCTGCCCCAAAGGCTAGCACCCAGGCCCTTCCTAGGGAGCTCATCAGTGTCTCTGACTCATACTTCCTGTGGGTTGCCTTAGAGTTTACTCCTTTTTTGTCCTCAGACTTGGCCTGCTGATGCTTACTAAATCTTCTTTTCAAAAAGCCTCTTTTCTAGTATGTAGCTAGAAGATGTGATCTGGGTGATAAAACGGCTGTGAACTCGTGTGCTTGCTTATCTCAGGTGGCTGTCAGTATTTTGAAAAATCTCCAAACTGGCCACTCCCATGGTTCCACATAGGATTGTTCCCTGTAGGGGATTTCTTCAAAGAAGGGTAGCCTGATTTCTGGATTCCATCAGGCTTTTATGAATGACTAAAATGTTTACTAACTCTACATCCCAGTGAGCCCCTGAATTGTGCAATGAAAGTGTGGCTGTTATGACCAGGGTCATCTGCTTTGAAATCTGCAGAATTACCACCCCCCCCCAGCCCCCATTTGGAGACCCAGTGCTGAGAAGGGGTGTAAGAATACCAAAGCCTGGTCTTTACTCTTCCTCAGATGGAATCAGTTCAGTGACTAATCTGTTCCCTTGAGCTTTATTTATGGATTTTTGGTGCCTCGATTTTTAAAGGTTTTTGATGGAACAAAATGTGATGTCTTGATAATATTGTGAAAAGCATGGGTATTTAATGACCAACATGGTAAGGTGGAAGGTTTCTTTGCTCTTCTTAGTGAACTTTGACCCTTAGAAATAGGTGATGAAAACGACAAAGAACTTTTTGAGGGTTAATACTTTAAACTGGAAGCAATGAAATTCTTTTGCTCTGGGACATTGTCCAGCTCTCCTCTCTCTCACACACTTTTATTGAGTAGATCAAAGAATGTCCGTTTGGAAACACATTAGCTACCGAATCAAGATGGTTTTCTGGAATTTTTCTACAAATAGAAGCAAAGAATACATTTGATGCCTCGCGATTTGGTGCAGGCTCATAATCTCAGCTGCGTGTCACAATCTCAGACTTTCGCTCTTGGTCACTGTTGCTGTTACGGAAAGAATGAGCCAGAACTGGTCTTGGGAAGAACAAGATGAACAACTGCTTGTTCTTCTATTGGTTATTTAAACAAAAAAAACCCTTCGCCCAAAAATAGTGGAAGATTTTTTTCCCATCTATATTGTAATCTCTCAAGTTGCAGGAACTCCCATGTATGCTTTGCCTTTGTGTGTGCGCCCTTTTGTCCTGTCACTCTCTCTCTCTGTCCTTTGTGTGTGGAGATACATAATGTGCAAACGTGTGGTCTCCCTTCCCTGAAATGTTATTGCAATGAAATCCTACCCCCTTAGACAAAATAAAGGGTGTAGAGATGTTATTTGTAAAATATCCCGTAAGTTGGGAGGAAAAGTTGGCTTTTTCACATTCTACATTGTTTATGTGTGCATTTCTAAGTGTCTGAGCTAGGAAAACATAGCTCAGGAAGCGTTCAGTTCCGAAATCGAGCAGAGCAGACTGTTCTTACCTGCGCAAAGGGGACCGGCACCTGCTTTGTCAACAGCAGCGTCTCCACAGACCTAGAGCACCTTTCACCTGAAAACCCGCCGTCGTTGACCCTGCAGGCTATCATCTACATCTGAAGGTCTGAGAAATGGTGCTTTTGAGATTGTTCTGATTTGACAGACAGCCCTGGTTGGACTCTTCATTTCCGTGAGCTATGTGGTTTTGGACCTTGGGGGGAGAAATCCAGTGGCCTTTCTCTGCCTGAATCCGTTGTGAGGAAGATCGGGCTCTTGCCTCTCTGTAGAGCTGCGGGCAACCGGCAGACGCACCTCCTTGGATGTGTGTCCTGTCTCTTACTTCCTGGTTTCTTCTCTCAGCGCTCTAGAAGTTTTGTCCTTGTCAGCTCTGAGCAGCACCCGCAGAAGCAAAACAGCATTCTTTTTTAAATCAAGTAATTCGTTTCTTAAATAAAGTTTTGGATAGGTAATCTCTGGGAAGAACATTTGTCGGAAACTGTGGCCGGGCCTCCTAGAATGGGCCTTGAAGGCCAAGCTTTGAGTGACACTTGAGGTCACTGAGGTTTATGTTCAGACTTCCTCAGGGGTGGGTCGAGTGAGTGTTTAGCGGGGCCCGAGCCTCCGTGACAGGCCACCTTGAATAATCCCAGACGTTTAGCCTTCTTTCTCCTGCTTTCATTGGGTGGCGGGGCCCTTGGGTTACTGGCCTGATGCCTCGTGCACCATTGTTTCGTGGGAGGGCCACGCTGGGTATGCCTGGGTTTAGTGGGAAGTGACCGCGCATGTTTACGTGTGCAGGGGTGCTCTTGGGAGTGAGGTGTCGTGTAAGAATGTTAAAGAGCTCCTTGAAATCCTGCAGTAGAAAATTAACAGGCCTAAACCACCGATAGCGCGGAGATAGGTCGCGTTATGAAGGTGTGCTCCTGAAATGGTGGAGGCAGTTGGTGCTGGACAGAAAGGTGCTCTGCAGCCGGTCCTCATGTGTTGTTAACCGCTTCCCAAGTGGTGACAGAAACAGGTTAGCTGCAGGGTCACCCGATTCATCTGCCCTTTACACGAGGGCCTTGGCCTTTTCCTGGTTCCTGGCTCCTTTGGAAGTCTGATGAGACCTGTGGTGGTTTCAGAGACCCCAAAGCCCGCGGGAGGGTTCTAGGCCTCGGGGCGTCGGAGTCTCCAAGAAGACCCCCCCCTCAGTCTGCCCCTGCCAGGAGGTTCCGCCCGACAACTTGCGTCCACCCTCCGCCCCTGCTGCCCTACACTTCTTACCTCATATCTTAACACATTGGCCAGAATTCTAGTTCTGCGATAGTCTGCACAGTTCAACAGCTTTTTCAAGATGTAATTTATATGCTGTAAAAATCACTGGTTTAAAGTGTACAAGTCAGCGGGTTTTAATATATTTCCTAAGTTGTACAACATACCATAATTTAATTTGTAGACCTGTTTATCCCCAAAAGAAACCCTGAGTCCCTCAGTAGCCACCGGCCACCTCCCTTGCAGCCCCTATCTGCTTTCTGCCCCTGTGCATCGGCCGCTCTGGGCGGCTCAGATAAATGGAATCAGATGTGACTGGCTTCTTTACTTCGAGTGTTTTCAAGGTTCATCCACGTGGGAGCGTGTCTCAGCACTTCATTTCTTTTATTGCTCAGTAATATCCCCTTCCTCGGACACACCACGTTTTGTTGAGGGACATTCGGGTGGTTTCTCCTTTGGGGCTGTTGTAAATGGTGCTGCTGTGAGCATTTGTGTGGACGTGTGTTTTCATGTCTCTTGAGGAGAGAGACGCCTGTCGGAGTGGAATTGCTGGGTGAGATCTTCCTTTGGCCCATCTGTATAGACGGAATCAACAGGAAAACATGTAAATGGATAGATGCTGTCAAGTTGCCCTTAAAAAGGTTCTTATTAACAGGGTCTGAGTGCCTGTATTCTCATGTACTACAACACTAGGCGTTAGCAAACATTTAATATTATGAGTCTGAGATAAAAAGTACATTTATTTGCCTTTACATTTCTTAAATCATACCTGAAATGGAACTCTTTTTTTCATGTGGTCATTTGCTTTTTTTTTTTAACTGCTTGTTTCTTTCTTGTTTTTTAACTGTTCCTTTGCCTCCTTTTCTATTGGACTATTTGTCTGATAATAAAATAAATAAATAATAAATTTGATTTAAAGCAAATTAGCCATTTGTTGTGAGTTGCAAATATTTCTCCTGGATTGTTTGCTTTTTGACCTTGTTTATGGTCTTTTTGCCAGGTTGAAGTCTTGAGTTTTTGTCTATTCAGATGTATTTGTCTGCTCTCCAAAGGCTTCCATGCTTTTTGGAGCACCAGAAGGGCGTTTCCTATTTCAGGGGTGTGTAAAACATTCTCCCATGGCGTCTTCAGTTCTTCGGTATCGTATTTTACATTAAATACTCAATCCACCCGGAATTTATTTTGATGTTATGAGATCTTTCATTTGTATTCATAGGCTGGAAAAAATGGTTTTCCCATGTCCTTAGTTATTTAGAGGGGCCTACTGAAGTATTTAGGGATGAAATGTCAAGATAATAATGAGCCTCGGGGTGCCTGGGTGGCTCAGTCGTTAAGCGTCTGCCTTCGGCTCAGGTCATGATCCCAGAGTCCTGGGATCGAGCCCCGCACCGGGCTCCC